GGAGCAGTCTGTCAACAAATCTTTCCTATTCTTTCCTCCATTGTTCCTTAAAATTCATCCTTCAATTTCAGGGGACACAAACTCGGCACATCTAACGTCTAAACAGGTTGGGAATTCTATTTTTCCTATATCAAAAGCAGGAGGTGGAGAGGAGGGATGGCCTCCTGGAGGTTCTCACCTGCTCCTATGTGGGGCCCCTTTGATGCTGCCGTGGATGGACAGGCAGCCTGGACAGCAAGAGTGCTGGACAGGGAGGCAGGCCCTGGGCCCAGGAAAGAGGCTTTGTTCCCATCAGCTGGGCAGTCTCAGGACCTGCTTTCCTTCCCTGGGCCTGTTTCCTGCTGTAAGATGATGGGCCGGGGGTGGGAGGGTGGTGGACTGGACCCACTCAGAGGACTCTCTTTGGTGAGAATGTGCTACAGTGATCTAAGATAGCCAACTCCCTTTGGGGCAGCCCTTGATCTTCCCGGCTGACCTGGGACTGTGCTCTGGCCTCTCAGGGAGGCTACGGCATAACTGGTGCCCTAGCTCTCTCTACCATGGGCCTTCTTGCCCAATTCCACATGGAACCTCATTTGAAGCTCAAAGAAAGAAAATGAAGCTGGAGGTGCTCTAGGCCAGGACTCTGAACCGCAGAACCAGTCCTTCTGGTTCTAACTCTGCAGCTGCTGCAGGCTTCAGGAGCCCTTTCCCCAGGCAGGCAGCTGCAGGAGGCCATGAGCAAGGTGACTGGTTTGCTGCTATTTGCCCTGGGGAGAGCAGGCTCGATCCTGCTGCTCTGGGCTCAGGGGCCAGAACAGGGTAGCAGCTGACCTGAGCTCTCCAAGCACCCAGAGGAGCCTTCCCTGGGCCTCGGGAGCCAGAGTGTGAATGAAGGACAGAGCCCTGCAGGCCTGGGGGTGGGGACAGAAGCCACAGAGGCTGTGGGCCACCCAAGCACGCGCAGATTGTCATGCCCAGATTTGCTAATCGAGGAGGCACTTAGGTTGCACAGGAAGCCATGAGTGGGCAAAACGGCCATCAGTGACCCTCTGTAAGTACTTAGTCTCTGTGGTGCGTCATGTGTCCTTCTGAGATTTACAGAGGATGTTGGCCAGCACCGGGTGCCCTCGCTGGAGGCGAGGCATTTGGCCTCTCATGTTGTTATGAGGAGACTTGCTTTTTTGCTTGTGACTTCCCCCAGAGTAGGAAAGCCTGTCATATTCTGAGTTTGCCTTGTTTTTGTTTTTAAATGGAATTTGGGATTATCTTTTCTAAGTTCATAGGACAGATATACCTTTGGTAGAAAAAGCAAAAGTCTGAGACAGAGCCCTCTGACGACCAGGCGTTTCCAAGTCACTTGCCAAGGTGGTCAAGGAGCCCACCGAGGTCTCAAGTCGTCCCCTTGCACCTTAGATGGGCTCATAAGAGCTCTGTTTCCCAGGGAATTGGGGCACCGTGTGCCCAGAGAGGGGTGTGATCAGAGCCATGCCTGACCCCTGTACCCTTGCACCAGGTGTAGCCCACCCCAAGTACCGAATTCTAGACCTGAGATGAAACTATGAATAGTTTCAAGCAATTCCTTAGAGAACCACAGAGGCCAAACAATCTGCTATTTGGGATAGGTCTGGTACTGTGAGTCCTCCTAGGCTTATTGAGCACAGATCTCCGGCATTCTGAGAGCCTTAGGGTCTCTTCTGGGAGGGCTCTTCCAGAGTCGCCTCCTCTGGAAGCCTTTCCCTCAGCAGTGTGGGCTCTTCCTCCCCGCCCTTTCTTTCTCTTACTAGGTCCCATATTGTCTTATTTATTCCCTTTGGGGGCCCTATCTCATGGGCACTGTAACTACCTTTGTGGGACAGGACAGGAAACAGACCCAGAGACATTACATGAAGTCACTGACTTGAGTCACCAGGAAGAGGCAGCAGGCCTGACCCTGCTGACTCTGCTTTGTTAATCTCCACCCCTCACTGTCTCCTGCTGTGCTTATGAAGCTTCCTGACTGCTTCTCTTCTGCCTGAACCTGAAGATAGAAGCTACATTCACCTGTTTCTCATGCTTGACTTAGTCTTTATTGTTCTTTTTTTTTTTTTTTGAGACAGAGTCTTGCTGTGTAGCTTAGGCTGCTCTTGAACTCACTATGTAGTCCAGGCTGGCCTCAAACACACAGCAATCCTCCTGCCTCAGCCTCCCAAATTCTGGGATTATAGGCATGTGGTACCACGCCTGTTTTTTTGTCCATTTTTATAAAGTTCTGTTAGAAACCATATTCCTGAATTGGTTTTTCTTCTCTTTTTTTTTTGGTATTGGGGCTTGAACTCAGGACCTTGCACTTGTGAGGCCGGCAGTGGCACCACTGAGCTAAATCCCCGGCCCCCAAATTGGTTTAAATGTAGAAATTCCCTGGACCGGACCAGTCAGGGCTGACAGCCTCAGGGATGAGTCTGGGGCCCAGAGTGGGCAAAAGCACAAAGCCGCTGGGTAGCAGATGGTGGCTGAGCTTGTTTCTGGCAGGGTCAGGCCCACACTCATGTTGCTTTCCATTCCTGTGGCAGAGTCCCAGCTCTTTCCCAGGGTAAGTGCTCGGCCCTGTTTCTCGCCCGTTTCTCCACGAGCGCTTTCTCCCGCCCCTCCTCCAGCCACCCAGCCTTTGTCCTTAGAAGCCAGGTCCCCGTCTGTGGTCTGTATGTGGCCCTCCCAAAGTTCCCTGTGCTGGATATTTAATCCCTGGGGCAACAGTGCTGAGAGTGTTTGGGCCACGAGGGCTCTGCGCTCATAGATGAATTGATGTCCTTCTCACGAGAGTTTATTGGGAAAGTGAGTTCACTGTGCTCTTGTTCCCTAGCACTCTTGGATTTCCGCCTTCCGCCATGGTTTAATGAAGAAAGAAGACCCTTGCCAGGTGTGAGCCTTCAACCTCAGATTTCCCAGGCTCTAAAACTGTGGCCCAAATGAAGTTCTATGGTGCATAAATTGCCCAGTCTCATGTATTATGTTATAGTAACACAGAGCAGGCTAAGACGCCAGGAAACACAAGCTTCCCTGTAACCGTACCTCCCACTTCTCACCTTAGCCCTCCTGGGGCTGGGCTGAGCTCCGAGGAGGACAGAGCTGTCTCCTCTTTCAGAAGGGGCAGCTTCCCAGGACTGGGCAGACAGCCCACCCTGAACACAACTGCTGGCTGTGGCTTTGGAAGCTCCCATTCCCTGTGGTCTGCCCCAACCTGCTGACTGGCCCACTTTCCACCATGGAGATTCGCAAAAACAGCTCTCTCTGAAGCCCCTGGGGGCAGGCTGCCAAGTGCCTGTTTATAAGGTTTGCTGGCATCTTCCCCATGGCCCGAGTCTGACAAACCACTGGTGTGTGCTGGGCCTTCCCACTGATGGTCTGGAGGGCATCCTCCGGGAAGAGCACCTCAGACCAGTCCGTGCTGCCTTCTGCACCAGGATTCAGTGTCTGTGGGCTGAGTGTATGAGAAATGCAGTTTTTCAGAGCCTTGGGCTCTTCCCTGCCTGGCCCTGCCCAGGAGCCTGCACAGAGGGACACTCTGACAGAGGGGAGCAGGTGCAAGAAGCCAGCCGTCCAGTCCTCCTGGGCCCTCCTTACATCCCAGCAGCCTTTTCCTCTCCTGTCCCTGTGCCCAGGCCTCTGCTGCCTGCTCCCTCCTGGCCCCGCCAGTTCCACCCTGCTGCCCTGCTGCTTGGCTGGTGCCCACTAGCTCCTGCCACTGTCCCTCCTAGCTGGGCAACTCTGTATACCTGGAGACTCTCGAGCTTCCAGCCAACCTCTGAAGGGAAGCAAGAAGTAGTCCTCCTCGGCCTGGAGTCAGTGTGGGAGGCACGTATAGGCTCTATATGTGATAATGGTTCCACGTGCCCTGCCAGGGAAGGGGACATTGCTGCCATTCTTAGGGGTGGTACGCAGAGTGGGCTTTGCCTTGGCTGGAGAACCCCTGTCCTCTGCCTTCCTTTTGCCTGACCCATCCCAGATAGTGCAGACAGTTCACGAGAATCCGTCTGTCCCCAGAGGACTGGAAGGACCATGTGGGCCCCATACTCCCACGCTGCCACACTCTACGGGCATGCACTCCTGCCCAAATCAGTGCTTCCAGAAGGGCTGGCTCCTGGTGCCAACCTCCTCCTGGTTCTCTTGTCACTAGAGTTCCCAGGCGTGCCACCCGGAGCCTAACCCTATCACCATGACCGCTGCAGGGAAGCCTGTCTGCAAAGGGGGCCCTTGATCAGCCTAAAGGCTGCCATCCCCACTACTCAGTTCCCATGGGGCTGAGAACCAGGCCTGTCGGACCTGGGGGTCACACAGCCCTGCACTTGTCCTCTACTGCTAGAGCCTGATTCCCCACCCCCCACTCCAGAACCAGCTGAGGGAAAGACCCTGAGCAGAAGTGCAGAGACAGACCTCTGGCCTTGGTGTTCGATGCCCAGAAAAGAGCAAATGGGAGATCCCTCTCTGTGGGGCCCTTGCATTGTGGACGCGTGACCTCACTGTGCCTGCTGTCCCTTGGGCCCACCAGGTCGGAGAGCCTGCTGGGAAGCCTGAGGTATGTGAGACAGGATCGTGCTCAGCTAGGCGGCTCCTGACCTGGGTCTGACACTGAGTTTTAGAGCCAGAGTCTATGCCAAGTCAAGCACAGTGAAAGGGCATCACTTGGGCCTGGGACCCAGAGGACGCCCCATAAATACTTGTAGGATGAATACATGAGGGGTAGGTGAGGGGAGCCTCCTGTGGAGGATCCTGGTGGCACTGGTTTGGCCCAGCAACAGCAGGAAGTGAATGCAGGAACTGCAGAAACAAGCCTCATTCCCTGGCCAAGGACCCGGGTCCGGATTGGGCTGTTTCAAAATCCCCCGGGAGACGGGGTAGGTTGGGCGCGCATGGGAATGCAAGCTTCTTCAGGAACGTGGAGTTAGCTCTCTGTCCGGGGGCGGGGGGGGGGAACCTTGGCACCTTGGCACCCAGTCCCCACCCCGGGAAGCCAGAGTCTGTAGTGGCGGTGGGGACCTTACCTTGGCCACTCCTTCTGGGCAGCTGGGCCTCACGTCCTCCAGCTGCAGGTCGGTGCTTGTCTCCAGCCCAGGAAGTGGTGCTCCCTTTAGGCAAAAAAGAAAAAGAAAACCTCAGTACTTTCCTCGGCCAACCCCTTCTCCCAGAGGTTCCTGGTTGGTGTCGCCCTGCCTTGTGGGCACACAGCCACCCTCCCCCCGGCAGCTTACTCACCGGTGTGCCCAGAGTTGCCAGCTGTGTGGGGGACTCGAGGGCCCACACCTGTCTGCTAGGCACACGGAAGGCATGCCCTGTGGGGGCCAAGGGCTCGGGGGTGCCCCAGCCTGGCCTTGGCCAGCTCCCTCCTCACCAAAGGTGCTGGTGGGCTCAGCGTGGAATGCACATAGGTGCTGACCTGCCCTGCTTGGAAGGTGACAAGATTCTTGGTGGGAAGCTGCTTCTTTGGTGCCCAGGGGTGTCCAGCCCCTGGTAGCTTTGGCTCTCACCCTTGGGATCACTTCCTATCTTGGCATCTTGCTGTGTCTCTGTCCCGTGGACCCAGAGAGGGGCTGGGCCTCCCCCAGGCAGCAGCTGCCTCTCAACCTGCTTAGGCCATGTGCTCGGTGTCTCTTCTGCCCGCACCCAGCAGGGCCCGGGCCAACCCAGTATCAGTTCACCCTAACTGCTGTCAAGTTCTGCATGGGCTCTGTCCTGGCCCTGGCGACACACCCTCACTCTCTCACTGGCATGTGGGGCCACACCCCGCACAGAGCCACCTACCTGCACGGGCCTGCCTAAGCCAATCCAGCCTGGCTCTTCAAATGCCGCTCTGACCCTAGAAGCCACTCCTTTACAGAAACATTCCCGTGAGAGGCCCGTTCAAATTCAAAGCCAGCCCGGGGGAGGACTCCAGTCGGCAGGGAGGCAGGGACCGGGCTCCCCTTCTCTCCCGAGACCTCCGGAGGACACTGGGGCAGCCGGATCACCATGTCTGCTGTGGCACTCTGCAGGCTGCCGTCTCTCCCCAGGCACCTCCGGCCCCCTCCACCGTGCCTTCCATGTCCTCAGGGGGTGGTGGCAGATTCCTAGCAAGTCTCATCTTCCTCCACGCCAGCCAGCCGCCGCTGAGGTAGGGAGGGGAGAGCTAGAAGGGGCGGGACTCAGGTGCAGCTCCAAGTTTTCAGCTCCCAAAATAATCAGATGTAAAAGGGAAGGAAGAGGAGCTGTGGCGGGCGGTGACTCAGTGGCAGTGGGCCGGCTTAGTCACCTGGGTGGCTGCTTGCGGCTCCTGGCATGTCAGGAAGGGAGAGCGCCCTCCCCCATCCGCTCTCGGAGCCTCTCTGAGTCCAGGCTCCCCAGCAGGGAGGCGGCGGCCCCTCCTGCCTGGCCCTGGCCGACGGCCCCGAAGCCCGGCCTTGGCCGCCCTTCCTCCACCTGGACCACTGGCTCACTTTAGGATTTCTCCATTAAATCCTCAGGCAGCGACCTGCTCCTTTGGGGCGAGAGCTGCTCCAACGTTGCTTGGCAATTTTGATATCGTCGTGGGTTGCCATGGGGAGGAGGGTGATGTCATTGACACAGAAAAAAACCCACTGAATTTACAAATCAGCTGGGCTGGAGCTATTTATAAAAACACGTTTTTCCCTGCCTTCCCCTACTGAGGGGGAGGGAGAGGAAGGGCGGCCAGCCGAGCTCAGGGGGGTGAATTACGAGATACTCTTGTCTCCCCAGCAGGACCTCCGTGGCCCACCCCCAGGCCCCCCAGGTTTGAAGCTGCAGGACTCAGACTTGGCAGGTGCTGGCCACAGCTGGGCTGAGCTCCGCTTTCGGAGTCTCAGCTGGTTTTGCCGTGAAGGGCAAAGAGTAGCCTCTGGGGTTGGGGGAGGGGACGGTGCCAGGCAGGGCGGGTGACAGTGTTCTGGTTGGCAGGGACCAGGAGCCAGCCACTGTACAAGGCCCCTTTGTTTCCTGGCCATGATCAGAAACAGGGGCATTTGTTGGAAAGTAGTCTGAGCTCCTGGAAGTGCCCCCACCACCAGCTGCCTCCAGCGCACTCAGGGACGCCCCGCCTGGGAGTGTCCTCCCTGCCATGAGCCTCAGCTTTTCCCTCACTGCCTCCTGGTCTCCTCCCTGTGCCCGAACCCCAGTCTTGGGCCCCTTTGTGTTCCTGCCCTGCTTGTGCCCACCACTCCTGCTGACACACCTCCTGTTGGTGGCTCTGACCTGCAGCCTGGCTGGTGCCTGCCCAGGACCCGTGTCCTGGCTGCCCCGCTACAGGCCATCTGACTGGCCAGGCCTGCCCCTTGGCCCCTGCTTCCGACAGCCAGGTGGAGAACCTCCCACCTACCCCCAGCCAAGGTGGCACGAGGTGTTATTTTTGAAAATTCTTTCTTAATTTTTCCCACAGTGAAATAATGGGATGTTTGCTTACAAGCCCAGGCACTGAGTTTTCACAGAACTGAGTTCACAGCCCAGCCCCACCCTTCAACAGTCGAGAGACCTGTGGCTTAACAAACTGAACCTCGATTTCTTCATCCATACAATGGGAATGATTTTACGTGGCCCACCAGATTTGGGATTTTAATGAACAAAGCTCCTGGCACAGGAACTGCTAATCCCAAGAGCTCATAAACATTAATTTTCTTCTCTGCTGGCCGTATGACACCAGTTACTCCTCATTCTTATCCATCTACAAGTTAATCTCCCAAAACCATGAGCCCTGTCACTTCCTGTCCAAAGGTCTCAAACAGCACAATAGACATTTTGAACAGTATCGGTGTTCACTGTCATGGCAAGAAACAAAAACTTCAATTAAACATAAGCTATTTCCCTTTAACTTGGTTATCAGTTCCTTTTGGAGTTCTCTCTCTCTCTCTCTCCAGTATCAGGAATCGAGCTCAGGACCTTGAGCTTGCCAGGCAGGTATAGCACCACTGAGCTACAATCTCGGCTCTCTCTTTTTTGTATATGAACATAACTTTTGTGAGTAAACTTACTTGCAAATATCCACCTCTGCTCTGTCTTACTAATGATCCAGGAAATGCAAACTAAGACAGAATCAGGGAAAATATGGTAGGTGGGAGAGCAAATTGGTACAATCTACTTGGAGGACAATTTTGCAGTCTTGATCAAAATTTCTCAACGTGCCTCTATGTGATCCAGAAAATGCACTTCTAAAAATCCATGTTAAGACTTAATTGCACATGGGATCAAAGATACAATGGTACTTCAGATCACAAACTTAATTCGTTCCATGATTCTGGAAAAGATGGCCACATTCCTGTTCATGCAGGAAAGATGGCTGTGGTCATGTTTGTCATTTGATGCAGAATTTGTAAAAACAAAATTTTGCCAAATGCTTGTTTTCGAACCAAATTGTTTGCAAACAAAAGCATTTGTGAACTAAGGTACTACTATATTTGTATAAAGGTTTTTTTTATTGTTGGTGACTTCAGAAGAGCTGGAAGATAAGAAAGTGTCCACTGACAGGGGAATGGTAGTACCGGGGAGCTACTCCTGCATGCAGCAAGGTACACGAGCCTGAAAACCGCTCCTGCAGCGGTCTGTGTTGGTTGGCCAGTGTAATTGAGAAAATACCAAGTTGTTGGACAGTGTGACAGTATAATGGCATATTTGCTAAAAATAAATGATATTTATACATCTCTATGTTTAATAACAAACTCTTCATTGTATTGTAGTTGATGCTGGGATGGGAATGGAGAAAGGATCTTTCCCTTTTTGACTTCTTATACTTTTACATTGTTTGAAATTTTCAGTGAATGTTTTCTATTTAAAAAATATAAAATTAAAAATAAATAAGAGTTTAAAAATCCAAAATTAGAAACTTATACAGAAACTCAAAGCCAGGTGTGGTGGCCCATACCTGTAATCCCAGCACTTGGGAGGCTGAGACAGGAGGACTGCCCCAAGTTTGATGCCAGCCTAGGCTTATATAGTGAGTTCAAAACCAGCCTGAACTACCTAGCAAGACCTTTCTAAAAAATAAATAAATAAAACAAAAAATAGAAATAGAAGCCCAAGAGCTGTGAAGAATACTTTAAACTTGTTTGAACATTTTCTCCCATGAATTCCATTTTAAGGCAATATGGGGAAGTGAAAAATAGTTTTTTTCCCTTATATCTTCTAAATTTCCAGAAATGATGTGTTTTAGATGGAAAGGAAATATGAAGATGTGAAGAAACTACAGCAGCAGACAATTTATTATATTAAATTTGAAACAGAAATTTATTCAGATAATTGCCCTAATGACAGCCTTCCCTCCCTTCCCCCCCTCCCTTCCCCCCCCTTCCCCCTTCCCTCCCTCTCTCTGTGGAATCATATAGGGCCTCTGTCCTGCTAGACAAGCACTCCACACTGAGCCACATTACCAGACCAGATAATAATTACGATTGCTCTCTTTAACAAACATAACATCTCTAAGTTTCTGCCAGTTTATGAGAAGCAGCAGAAGTTCCTGAAGAAACAGTCAGCAGTCACAAATCAAGAAAAATCATGTTTTCCAGATTTTTGCTACATTGTCTAGCAGCTAGAGATAACAGCCAATGCATGAAAAGAACAGAGAACAAAACAAACCACCTCCCCCCGCTCTGAATCAGTCAGCTCCCTAGCTATCGTGCCAGCCTTGAAAATCAAGTCCAGCACTGATGCCAAGGTAGTCCTGGCGACTGTGAGCAGCAGAATCCGCTCTGGTCTCCATGCTTTCTGCAGGACTACAGGCGCTCCTGCCACCTCCACCCACCACATCCCTGCCTGAGGACCAGGAAGATTCTGATTGGCTGGCTCAGTCACGTGCCCCCTCTCACTTCTGCTCGGGGTGGGTGTGTCCTAGAGATGGTGCTTCTCATCACACATGACGGGTGCTGGGGGCCAAAAAGCAGCCAGGGTACCACAGCATCTATGCCACTTTTCCTAATCATCTTCAATTCCCGAGAATGGCAATCAGCAGTCACTGATTCTTTGATTCCTCTGGTTGTCAGGACTGCTGGAAACTGGTGACCTGTGCAGACTGACCCCAGTTCTCTACTCTGTCACGCTGCATGACTGCATGGTGTGGTGAGGGCATCTGCAAACAGACTTGTTTCTCTTCATGGGTTGTTCTGGGGGGGTCTGCCGGCCTGCAAACACTTGCCTGCTTGCTGCAGGGGCAGCCTCAGAAACTGGTAGTCCTGAGCCATGGTGTTCCCTGTGCCCCCTCCAATGGAGTAGCCTCTCTGCCAACCCTGCTCCCCAGCAGGAAACCCAGCACGGTGCTTTGTAAACTCTGTGGAATGAATGGATAATCATCTGAAGAGGTTCTGGGCTGCAGCCACCCTTGCTTATGAATCACAGAGGTGAGAGACTCTAAGATCATCTGCCCCACTTCTACTGATGCCAACTGCAGCATCAAGAGATAAAGTGACTCAGCGAAGCCACAGAGGAAACTGGAGGCAGTCAGGGCTGGAATTCAGCTGTCCCGGGTAGCTCCTTGCCTGCCAATCGGGCCCATTCTAGTAGCAAGCTGAGTGCCATGTGTCTGTAATTTGGTCAGCCAGTGGCTCCTGCAGACGTTTCTGGCTTTGAATCTTGGCTCCCAGGGAGCTGCAGCAGTGTGAGCCAGCCAAGCCACTGGCCTTATGATTTCTCTTTACTCTCTTCTGTTTTTGTGAATGAACATAAACTTGTAGACCCACAAGAAATTTGCCTTAGCTTTACCATTTCCATGAGTTGGGCTCAGCGAGACCAACTGCATACATCAAAACTGTCACTCTACATAGATTAGAAAAAATCACTTGGGGATGTTAATGATGAAATGCTAAAATTTTCATAAGCCAATGCTTCCCAACTTTTCCAAAGTAGAAATATTTAGAAACAAAGTCTAAGGTTCCAGTGTGTTGAAAACATTTGCTTTTACTGCCCAAATTTCCTAGATCTTTAGCTTTCCCCCACACCCCTTGCCCCCCTTCTTGTAGGTCTTTTGTGGCCACCAGGCCTGTCTCCACCTGCCTGTACTCCTCAGGGCAGGAAGGAGGAGCAGACACAGCCAGCCTCGCCCCAGTAGCCAAGCCAAGGCCAGCTCTGCAAGGAGGGGCTTGGGTAACAGGCAGGTGTTGCCTGGAGCCCTGCCTGTGTCACCCTGGAGCCAGCTTACCTGGCCTCCTGAGGGCCACCTGCCCCTGCTCCAAGGTCGGTCCTGGAGTCCTCAGAAGGAAGGAGGCTCCGGGCCTTGTCAGTGAGGGTGGACTGTGTTCCCTCCTCTGGCCCTGCTCCTGCTTCCTCTCTTTGGGGAAGGTGAGGCAGCCCGAAAGGTGTGGATGGCTGTGGCTGGGGCTGCTTCCACTGAGCCCCAAAGGAAGAGTGTCTCCAACTGTGGCACACCGGAGGAGTGCCCGGAGGGACCGCTTCAGCTGACCTGCAGGACCCGCTGCCTGGATCAGGAAGCCTGCTGCTGGCTTCTGTCCGGAAGCACAGAGGGGAAGGCGAGGGCTTCCCTTGTACCCGCTGGGGCTCAGCGCCTCTGCCTGCCACTGGG